CTAAGCCTTCACAGGTGTGGACGTGGCAGTTCGCTCGTATCCTGGCCGACGGCAGTCTCGGAGCTGATATGGCTTCGCGAACTGGACTGGAGGAAGCTGATCTACACCACCGTGGCTGCGTATCCGAGGATAAACGGAGATGGAGTTCCCGCTCCTATTGACCATCCTCCGCCTGGACTACCAGCCCCAGCCGCGCCAGCAGCCGCGGCGGCAGCAGATGTACCTCCACCACCTCCCGCACCCGAAGAAGTACTGGATCCGCGCGCTCGACGAGCGGCTATTGGACCTCACCTCTGCCCAAGATGTCGGAGAAATCGAGTCAGCACTCATCCCTCACACAACCGCATGCCTGGACAGTGCCGACGCCCGTTGGTACAGCCGCTGGAATACAATTGCCCTGCATGCAGAACAGGTCTGGATCGTTGCGATCCCTGCCATACTTACGACACGGACTGTCGTCTCCTCATGGACGAGCCCAGGCTGATTGGGACGATATCTTCTGGAGCGGCTCATGCACGGGATCCGCGAGTACCGGCAGCGCGAGCTGCGGGCGCTGGTCATCGAGTACATCCCCGAGCAGGAGAAGAAGAGGAGGACATAAGACCTCATCCTGAAGCAGGACCTTCAGGTGCTGCTCCCGCTGCCGCGAGAGAAGAGGATGATGACGTACGACCTCATCCTGAAGCTGGACCCTCAGGCGAGGCCCCGGTGGCCGCAGCCCAGGAAGCCATTCTTCCTGCCGGAGAGCCTGGACATCCGGCCAGAGCAAGCGCAGATGAGGTCGCACTGAGGAGACGAAGATTTCAAGACGCTGTGGCCCAGATCGACACGGGAGCGGACTGGACGCAGTGGGACATGGGGCGTGCCATTCAGGGGCTAAGATCAGCGGTCCCGGATGCATATGCGACTGTGGCACGCTCCAGCCCAACGACTACGAGACTTACTTTCGGCCGCGGGTCTACCACGAGAAGTGATCAACATGGTGCAGGACGTCGTGGACACCTGCACAGTATGCCGATAATGGCAGCGTCGAGGCGAAAAGTCGGTGACGAGTCTGACGTTCAGCACAGCCTTCAACGAAGGGATTCAGTTCGATCTACTCTTCTTGGATGACGGCATCGTGGTGCACCTGTTTGACATGTGTATCAGGTGGGCTCAAGGGCTCTTTGTGAAGTCAAAAGAACCAGGTTATGTTCTTCCTGCCATTACTCACATCTGGGTTCGAGTTCACGGCCCTCCGAAGTTCATCACCTCTGATCAGGAAGGAGCCCTGTTCTCGGACGAAGGAGCTATCTGGGCAGATCGATGGAAGGTGGATTTGAGGCCGAAGCCCAAGGGAACCCATGCTCATGTTATCGAAAAGAGAAATGACCTACTCAGGACACAGTATCTCTGAGTTCGAAGTCAGGCCAATGAGGAAGGCATTAGAGTTTCGAAGGAAGAGTTGCTGGACGAATCTTTGTTGGCTATGAACACACTCTTGAGCGTTCACGGGACTACGCCATATGCTGCTCTATATGGTCGAGTTCCGAAAATCCCACTCGAGCTCGGGGGTGGGGGGTCCGAGTTTGACGACGAGTCTGGAGGCGCCGTGTCTCGTCATGTTCATAGGAGTCAGGGAACTGGCTCTCGCCAACATCGTGCAGGGTCATGCTCAGGAAAGACTGAAGATAGCAGCTCGGACGCGAACGAGACCAGCGGCTCAGCTCGGAGATCTTCGTGCAGGAGACTCGGTTGACATCTTCAGGGGCCCGCCGAACAAGGACGTCACAGGCTGGCGAGGGCCCTGCAAGGTAGTTTCCATCGATCGAGCGGACGAGGGCATCATTGATGTCAGATGGCAGGGTCGCACGTTGCCGTGTCGCCCAGCGGATGTTCGACGGGCGGTGACATGGATGACTCGCATGGCGGCTCCTGGCCGCGGTGACACCAAGCCCTACCAGATATTAGTATACTACGTGGAGAACATGGCGGCGGGCACTACGTTACTCTTGGGATATGAGATCGGCGAAGATGGACGCTGTAGGATGACGAAGACCAGCAGTCGGCTGCCTACATTGACGACGGCAGCTTTTCACGTGGCGGCCTGTGACTTTCAGCTGTATGGAGTTGTGGCCACGAGACTGGGATATGGTTCGCGAGAGATTTCAGGTGCTCGAGGGCATCACACTTGTATGATCGTATGGTGGCGTCCGGGTATGTCGATTTGTTATCACCGCGCAAGTTTCGATCCTCGAGCGAAGGCGAGTACCCAACACCTGATGGGGCCAGACTTTGGACGCGTATGTTGGGTGCAGTTTTTTGATGGTTGAGATCTCCACAGCCGAGGTCTTGCGGCAGATTGACGTTCACATGCCACACGTGGGAGGTCCTCAACAGATGCCCGACTTCCCCGCACCACGAGGTCAAGTGCGGCCTCGTGATCCTCATGAGGTGGAAGAACGACCGGATCGATGGCATCGATGGCCCACTCCAGAGGCCACTATCGACGAGGAGTCAGAGGCGTCCGAACCTCAGGCTCAGGGTGTGGCCCACCCACGAGATGCTGAGGCGGACCCTGAACTGCTAAGGCCGACGTGGCGACCTCTTCAGCAGCCCTATCGGATAGAGCCAGACGTCAACTCAGATGTGCAGGATCTGTGGCTGGAGCCCTAGGATCCAGGATGGATGCAACACGCGAGGACAGAGTTCAGCTTCTTTCACGCTATTCTTGATAGCCAGTCACCACCGGTCGCTGAGTACTGGTTGGATTCTCGAGTGTTGGAATCCGTCGAGGTGGCTACCTATCTGGAGAACTCAAAGAATGAGAGGCAATTTCTGGAGGTGGAGTTCGGCTCGGAGATATCCCGGCTCGTGATTATGACCACTGGCGAGCACAAGTTACCCAAGTCCGAGATCTTTTCCCTATTTGCGGACGATGGGGGCCATCGTGTGATTTTGTCCGTCAGCTCGACGGGGAAGACCAAGATGGTTATCGAACGAGAGGCCGACGAGCTCAACAAGGACGACTTGATCAAGCACCGGGTTGAAGTCGAAAAGGCGATGTCGAAGGAGCTGGGCAACTGGATCGAATTGGGTGCACTCAAGCAACGCAGCAGGCGAGGGTGTACCAACCTGATGGACTCAAGATGGGTGATCCGTTGGAAGAAGCCACCGGGCGGTAAGTTGGCGGTCAAGGCACGGTTGTGCATCAAGGGCTTTAAGGACCTACAGCAGGATCGTCTGGACACCTTCAGCGCGACCGCCTCGAGGCAGAGTCAGAGGATGGTGAAATTCATCGCGGCGGGTCGTCCCAAGTGGGTGTTGTGGTCTTGTAATGTGGGCAGCGCTTTTCTGAAGGGACTTACATTTCAAGATGTGGCCGATATGGCCGGGGAGCCCCTCATAACCGTTCAGCTGGGCCTGCCCGAGGATACGGTGAAGACAGCAAGGCAGTTCGAACAATTGTCTAACTACGACGTGAGTCAGCACGGCTTGGAGATGGTCCGTCCTGGTTTCGGTCTCAAGGAAGCGCCTAGATTATGGAATCTCAGGCTGAAGCAGGTAATGACTAAGCTGCAACTCTTGTCGTTGGTTAGGGATCCGCAGTTTTATTGCAAGTGGGCGGGATCTCGGCGCAAACCTGTACCTCGAGAACTGGTGCCCACGAACGTAGATGAGGACAAGGCCCGAGGGACCGACGTGCTGTTCGCCGACCCGCAGGTAGCGATGGAGGACTTGCAGATGGTGTGCAGCACACACGTGGACGACCCCAAGGGTTCTTCGACCGAGTCTGTTGCCGATGCATTCATTCATGGATGCTCTCGAGTCGGAGTGCGGAAAGCTCACGAGGCAAAAGAGAAAGTTCGAGCACTGCGGCGTTGTTCACGATCAACATGAGGACGGATCCGTGTGGTGCTCTCAGGATCACTACGCTGCGCAGCTTAGGCCGATGGAGGTAGACAAAATTCGAGCAGATGACGAACCTCTCGAATCTCAAGACCGAACTTCTTTCTGGTCACTCTTGGGTGGAGCAGCCTGGATGTTAGTCACCCGGGCGGATGTTGCAGTACATATCGGATACCTACAACGCCATGCTCGCGAACCTTGCTGGAAACATGCTTGTCATGTGAACTCAGTTGTACGATGGATCAAGAGGAAGAAGAGTTCGCTTGTCTACTATGCAGTACATTTGCCATGGAGTGTGGTGGGCTTTCCCGATAGTGCTTTCCGTGCGACTGAGCCGGACTGTCTGGCCGTCAGAGCCGCAGTCATTGCGATTGTCGGTCAGGACTTCATGCTTGAAGGGGGATTGTGTGCGACAGTGAAATTCTGTTCACGAAGGCAGCCTCGGGTAAGTCGTTCTACCTTTTCGGCGGAGTTGGCGAGCGTTGATGATGGTATCAGCAATGCGCTGGCTGCTAACTCAAGTGATGGTATGTGAGATTGTTCATGGCCCCCTAACAGCGAAGCAAAGTCAGCGATGTATGGACGCAGGAAGGTTGCCAGGCGACCTGCATGTGTGTACGGACAACAGAGGCCTCTTCACGGCGCTACGTGCAACAGAGTTGAAAGCACCAGCGGAACCTCATCTTTTGTATTTGCTGCGCGCTCTACGTGGCAGATTGGAAGCAGCTACTCTACACAAACTCTGGTGGGTGGATACTCGAGCAATGGTCAGCGACGCGTTGACCAAGGGTGGACTGGCTCGAGAACCTATACTGAAATTGTGGGAGACGGCAGTGTTGATGATGACTGGAGACGATCCCCTTGCACTATGCTTACGGGGTCCTCGCGGAGATATCAGTGAGTGGGAAGATAAGTGAATCGTGAGATCTGCATTTTTTGATGGATGGCATGACTGTTGATTACGATTTGTCTACTGTATATTTGGCGAAGAGGCTTTCTTCATTCTCATCCTGGTCCACGCTGTTGTTGACCGTATATGCAGCCTGTGCGAGATTTATTGTTTCTCGCTCTCCTTCCCCCCTCCTCAATGTTGTGATTTCCTCCGGGTGTAGTGTGTGGCGATTCTTCCGATGCTGCGGTGCTTGCAGTAGCCTCTGATGTTGTTCCTTGGGAGATGATTTCAGCAGTCCCCTCTTTTTTGCTTCTGGAGTCCCCGTGATTTGTCTTGGGACTTCAAAACAGAGCGTTGTGGAGATGGCAGTCCATCTGTTAGGGATGGACTGCCTGCGGCTGGTTGGCCGTGACGAATAATCGGCTCTGCCTCTCGTGCGTGTGCGGTGTCAGCTCGTAGACTTTCGCTGCGTTTTCCCACTTCGAGTTGAAGTGTAAAGGCCCTCCCGAGACCTGGGAGGGGCCAGGCAGTATGCACGCCAGGAAGCGAGCAGGCAGTAGCATATGTGTGTGTGACAGAGCGGCGTGAACGCCGCTTTGGCTCGAGCCGGTCAGTGAGAAGCCTCACCGAGTGTATATCCTGTCCGCGGCGGCCAGCCTCTCCCCCATCATGCCAAATCCGATAATCAAGATTATCATCACGACGGCGATCCTCGCGATCCTCTCCCTCTTCGGGGCCCTCAGGGCCAGCTGGGCCCTCAGTGCCAGCGTGACAGTTTCACCGCCGTCGGTGGACGCGCAGACGGAGCTGGAACCCAACCCTCAGGAGGCGTTGACTCGGGAGGGTGAGCGCCAGGAAAACAACTTCAGGAGGAGGAGGAGGAGGCGGAGGAGGCGGAGGAGGCGGGGGAGGAGGAGGAGGACAAGGAGGATCATGGGGGAGGAGCAATAAACATACGTCAAGTATTTAACATGACGCTAATCATAATACATGTACGAATAATCATTATGTGACTAAAACGAGTAAGAGTAATACACACAAGAGTAATGCGACTTTGGGTAATTGTACCAGTATTTGTAATATTCTGTTATCAATAAGGATACGACTAAAACGAATACTGAGACTACTAATATTGTTAATCATTTTCATATTTGTATTGCTACCATAACCATTAAGGATAATACGATGACGGATAAACATAATGCTACTACTGTTATCATCAATCATAATCCCACTAATAAGATGAATACACGATTATTGAGAAGACGGGAAATATTCATACCACTGATACCACGAATAATCATACTACTGACGATGCTAATGCTAACAACGACAATCATCATTCGAATTATAGTATGCGTAAGAGTCATTCTACCCACACTGTTGTTGATAATATCAAGTATAGTTTTACTCGTCATAGTACTAGACATAAGTTCAACATTCATTATAAACTTATTACTGGTGCTACTAATACTAATACTAGACATCTTACTTCTATTAATCAGATTAATAACACTCGTGGCAATTTTATTTTCATTATTTTAGTGTCAAGCACAAATATAATAACACCATTACGAATACCAGTACTATTAATACTGATACTAATACTACCGCTACTATTACGACCAGTCCGAATAGTATTAATACAACTTCTAATGAGAAGATGAGGAGGAGGAGGAGGAGGAGGAGGAGGAGAAGGAGGAGGAGGAGGAGAAGGAGAACGAGGAGGAGGAAGAGGAGGAGGAGGAGGAAGAGGACGGAGGAGAGGGAGGAGCAGGAAAAGGAGGAAAAGGTACGCTGCCGCCTGCCATGCCGTGAAATATCGGATGACTTTCGGGCTGCCCCGCCACCGTTTCTGAGTTGTGGGTCCGGGCCTTCAGGGGAGCTTTTGCTGCTCTTTTCCCGACCTCTTTCCGAGGACCGCTTCATGGGTCTCTTTTCCCCACCACTCTCCGAAAATTGCTTCGTGTCGGGGGCCTCGTGAAAGCAGTTGTGAAGCCTCGTCGGGCATGTTCTGGGCCCTCCTGGCGCTTCCTTGGGGCTTCTTGGGGGCCTGTTGGGGGTTTGTGGTGGCGTCTGGAGGGTTCGTGGGTGCATCTTGTGGCGGTGAACTCGAATTGTCGGTCCTGACTCCCGCTCCTGGGCCCTTCTCATGGCCGTTTTCGGGCTCTCATGGGCTGTCTTGGGCGCCTCTGGGGCCGTCTTGGGGCCCTGCAGGGCCGTCAGAGGCCTTTCCTGGGGGCCTCTTGGGTCGGTCTTGGGCGCCAGAGGCGCCGTTTTCAACGCCGCGGAGGTCGAAGAGTCGCGTATACTGTTTCCCCGTGCGAATTGGACGAGTTTTGGTTTTCGGAGCCATCTTGGGAGGCTTCTGGGAGGCTTTGTGAAGCGTCCTGGGAGCATCGAAGGCCGCGTGGAGGCAATCTCAGGCGGTTTGACACGTTTTTTCTGCGATTCGGGGCCTTTTTGGAGCGCCTTGGGTGCGTCTTGGAGTTTTCTCTGGTCGTCGGGGAGCCCTCTGTCCCCCCATGGCGTGTTCGGGCGGGGGGTCGTCTGCGGCCAGGGGGGTCACACTCCCGGTTGGGGGTCCCGGGGGGAGGGGTTGATGGGGGGAATCAAATCTCGCACGCCTGGAGACCCACAAGGGGTTGACGGATTTCATTGATGACCGACGCGGTGGAGCCTGGAACCCTTCGCAGCGGTTCCGCACAGCGGTCGTGTTCATGATTCTCGGAGGTCAAGTGGTCGCGTACATTATTTCTTTCGCCACGTTGCATTACGATTCTAATGTGAATGTAGACCTTTCTTCCAATTGGAGGGCCCAACATGGCCCCGAGATACACCCCACACGGCCCAATACTGAGTCCAGATCGCTCCAGATAGCCTCCGAGGCGGCGAAGACGCCTCCAAGACATCCCTTAGGAAAGCCCTAAGAAGTTAAATGAATCGATTTCCCGTTGACTTTTGAAGGATTTTTGCATTAGTTTTTTTGTTTTTTTTCGGCCTGGCGACGGTCCAGATGGCCTAACAGGCCCCCAAGATCGCCCCCAGAGCGCCCAAGAGGCCTCCACGATAAGCCCCGTGACGACCCAAGAAACTCCAAACACGGCCCCAGGAGGGCCCCAAGACAGCCCAAGGGGACTCAAGACGCCTGATATTGCCTCGAAGACAGCCCCGAAGCGCTCCAAGCGGGCTCGAAGACGGCGAGGACAGGCTTCAAACACGACTTCCAGTAGCGTTTGACGGGCCAGGAACGCTCTAAGACAGCCAAAAAAGGCTGGGAAATGCGGAAAGATGGCTCCTGCGGGGCATGCGTGCACGGGTGCGCTAAACTCCTTGTGGGGCACGATCCGCGCAAAGGGCCGCGCGAACACGCCCACTGAGGCCGCAGGTGGACCTTCCGAAATGGGTGCTAGGGCGCCATGCAAAGATGCCTATTCTGGGGCATGATTCGCGTGACAGGTGTGCCAACATGGGCGGGGGGGTGGCGTTGTGCGAACCTTCCGGGCCTTGGGCGGTGCTCCTCGTGGGCGCGATCCACGTGACGGGGCGTGCCGCAATGGCCAGGGGGGGGGGTGGGGCGCAGTGCGAAGCTTGCCTCTGGGGCTGCGGGCGGAGAGCCCTGTGGGCCGTGATCTCGATCCGTGTGCGAGGTGTGCCGAAGCAGGCGGGATGGCGGGAGGCGAGCCTTGTTTCTGGGGCCGTCCGTGGATGTCCTCGCGGGCCCCGATGCGTGTGAGAAGAGTGCTGAAGCGAGCGGGGCGATGTTATGAAGCTCCTCTCTGGTGCCGCAGGTGCATTCACTTGCGGGGCACGGTCTGCGTGAGGGGTGTCACCGTGCGAACCTCGTCTCTGGTGGCGTAATTGAGTGGGTCTCCCTGTGGGACGCGATGCCTGCGAGGGGTGTGCCGGCATGGGTGGGTGGACCCTCAGCCAAGCCTGTCGGAGGGGCCTCAGGTGGAAATCCCTGAGGTGCACGATCCTTGTGACAATCTATATCCTCCGATGCCGAACGCTTTAGACTACAACTGGAGCTCGCTGGAACCTAAGCGCGCGCGTGGTTCTAGTACATATATATATATATATATATATGTATGTATGTACAGGACAGAGAGAGAGAGAGAGAGAGAGAGAGAAACAACAAAAGCAAAGCCAGGCACGGCTCGGGCGATATCCGGGCACGGACAAGCCTCACTTTCAGCGCCCGCACCAGGCGTGGATTCTTCACCGTGCAGCTGCGGTGGGAATGTTTCCCTGGTGAGCTCTTGAGACTGCAAGTGCCCAAGCATGGTGTGGCAGCGGCCTAAACAGCGAACGGCCAAACCCTGATAGCGCAAGGCGTGGCCCTTCCTTGCACCTGTTGCGCGCGTCACGTGAGGCATAGAGTTTGGGAGCCATGCGGATGCAATGGCTTGCGATGCAACATCGTCAAGGTTGCTTTGCTTATGATCCGTGCGTGTTGTGTCCCGACATCGACGGCAAGTGGAGATCCCCTACGGGGCCCACTGCGCAATACATTTGTGCCGACATGCCATGCGCGGTGGACCGCGTGCAACCAACGCCCGCTGGGGCGCGCAGCACGAAGCGTGGGGTTTGTCGAAAAGGGTGCTTGACCGCATGTATGTTGGGTCCGACACGTACAAAGGATACGCAGAAAAGCTGACGGAACGCCTCGACGAAGGCCACCTGGTGAATTTCGTTATGTGGCGCATCCTTGTGGTGCGTATTTGAAGTGTGTTCTCGCGATGTACATTCTCGTTGGTCTCCTCCCATGCCCAGAGACCGACCTCCGCGAACCCACCCCGCTACCGTTCACTTCAAATGCTGGATTTCGTTAGTTGTGTTAGTGCTACTGCAGCGCCCGCAATACCGCTCGCCGGCGGGATCTGCTCTGGCGCCTGGCCCTTGGTCGTTACAATTCAGCGTGCCCCCCTGGACCCGACCGCGACGCAACGGCGATGCGTTTACGTTTGCTCCTTCTTTGTCGCGCTGCGTTTCCCCTGTGGCAACATGTTCCTTGTCGGGCTTGAACTTCCACCGAGCCCTTCTGCCAACGAAGGTTGTGGTTGTTCAAACCCCAGCTGGCGCCTGCGGCTGGTCGCGGCTGGGCCTCGCGGGCGTCCCGCACGGCCGCCAGCTCGTGCTGCGACGCGCGCGCGCAGGCCCACAGAGCGGCGGCCCCACACGCGTCTCATTTTGTTTTGTGTAGGTTCCGAGGGCTTCGCGCCCCAGCCCGCGAAACCGAAGTGGCGGTGCAGTTGGACTCGGGTCTGGAGGGTCTTGTCTGCGCCGAAACCTGTGAACTTCACCCGGGCGGCGCATCTCAGGATGTGGGGCTGGCGGGTTTCGGAACGCTCTGGCGCAGAGTGGAGACGGAGCAGCGGCAGGGCCCGTTCCCTGCATTTGTCGAACGCGCTGGCCCCGGCACCGCAGCCGATGACGATGGGCTCTGCGTGCATCCTCCGCCGCCTCTGCCTGGCACCTGGCTTCCTCCGACATTTTTCTTGCCTGAATATCCTTGGCCTCTTCCGCCGCCCCCGTCCCGCAGAGAAGCGTCCAAGTCGGGTGCCACTTTGCTGTGACCGCGCGCGTGGGCCCCGGCGTTGGCGGATCGCGTGGGGACCCCGTTTCGCTTCGCCTGCCTCGCTGAGCTGCGATCGCGCCCGCCGCAACTGCCCTGCACTTGCCCAGTGCGCTGGCCCCACGGGTTTGGCTGGCGACGGCGGGCCGCCCCTTGCTCTTCTTCGCCCCAGGTGTCGATTTCTCCCGCGACTACCTCGAACACCTGGGCTTGCGGCGGTCCACGTATCCTGCTGAGCTGCCCGCTGCCATGGCTTGTCGTGGTTGCGCTCCTGCGGC